TTGGCCTGGTTGAACCTCATGCAGTTGCCCTCGGACCGTTGCAGGGGTGCCCGTCACGGCCTGACCATGAGCGCTAAGCTGGCGCGCCTGGAGGAGCAGGAACGAGCCTTCCTGGCCACATACCGACACAAGGAGCTGCAGTGTGAGGCCCCAGACAGCAGCTCCCCAGCAGAGAGTCAGAGAAAAAGGAAGAAGAAAAAAAGGAAACAGTCCAGGGATGGAGCTGATCCCGAGGTGCTGCAAAGCGAGGACCGAAGTGGGGAAGAGGAGGAGGTGGCGGGAGAGGAAGGGAAGGTTCTGAAGAGGAAGAAGAAGAAGAAGAAGAAGAAGAAGAAGAAGAAGAAGAAGAACCTGGAGAACCAGGAGCCAAGTGGAGAAGAGGAAGAGGTGGCAGGAGAGGAAGGGAAGACTGTGAAGAGGAAGAAGATGCAGAAGAAGGACAAGGAAGAGCCAGGTGAGACAGACAAGAAGGATAAGGAGGAGGAGGAGGAAAAAGAAGAGACAGTTGAGATAGAGAAGAAGAAGATGAAAAAGAAGAAGAAGGTGGTGGAGGACAAAGAAGAGCTGATTGAGACAGAGGTACCTCTAGAAGACACAGGCAGGCCAGACCAGGCTGGGCACAGCCCCAGGAAGAAGAAGAAGAGGAAGAAGGAGCCAGAGTGAGCAAGGGCCAAGGCTGCCGTGCTGCACAGCTGCTGGTTCCGTCTGGCTGTGAGGGTCCCGGTCCTGCCTGCTGGCGCTGGTGGGTGCCCAAGGATGCTCTGGGCACTTCCCAGCTGGAGCCCAGTGCTGTGGCCCAGCTGCTTGTTCCCTTCCTGGGGATACTGGGCTGGGACTGGTTGGACTGGATCTGGATCAAGGTCTGTTTCACTCCCTGAACCTTCCTCCTGTCAGGGGTGACCCCAGTTCCCACCAGTCCCTGGGGCAGGGACCCATTTGCCGTGGATCTGTTGCAGAGGGACATGGGACAGACCCCACAGAGTACCCAAATATTTTTTCAAGGGCACAAATAAATCTTTATTGCAGTAAAACTTATCCTGAAGTGCAAGACATGTGGCAGACCCCAGGATCCTGGATCGTGTCTACACCTAGAAGCACTCAGATTAGGTAGCAACCCCAAACAGAGCCGCCCCGTCCACCCCAATCTCCTGGGGGCTTTGGTCTGTACTGAACTTCGATCCTGCTCGCAGAGCTGGGTAGGACTGAGGCCGCTGAGGTGCTGAGCATCCTCCTAGCAGAGAGCTGCAGCTTTGGCAGAACTGGGTCCTGATCTGCTGTGCCAAAGCCCAGCCCAGCACCCCAGCCCCCTGCTCGAGCCCAGCCCTAGGTGAGCTGCAGGACGCAGTCCGTGTCGGGGTACGGCGGGAGGTTTAGAGCGTATTTCTGCTGGAGCGCGGCGGGCACGAACCTGCCCCCGAGGAAGTGGTAGCGGCCGGTAAAATGCATCGCTGCCTTCTTGGGCGCCGTGAGCGAGATGAGCATGTCAGGCTGGAGACCATCTGCCTTCCCCTTCTCCACATCCCAGCCTGCAACAACCCCGAGGCCAGGCTGGAGTGAGGAAGACTCCGGCTGGGCACCTTCCTCCGGCAG